ATAAAGAGATAACAATAAATATTTAAAGAAAAGAACTTATAAAAACCTTTAGTAAATATTTAATTGGAACACTACTTCACTTACCTGAAGGGTTTCCAAAATTTTGATAGCCCAACTTTTCCAAGTTCTCACTTAATTCAATAATGTCCTATATAACCTAGCATATAACCAAAAATCCTTAGTACTCCAATAATTGCTCAATTGATGCATAAGTCACATGCCACCTATGTCACATAAATCACATAATTCAATTAAATAGCATATGATATAATAAAATCTAATTCATGTCCAGAATTAAATTCATAATTAGAAGGGAGAATTTATTAAATTAACCAAGTTTCAGGCTGCACAAAATTATATAAAAATTTTCACACAAAGGTAAACTAAAAACTAGGACGAACTAAGACACTTAAAAAAGTGTTGACTTTTTTATTTAATTACTCCCAAACTAAAATGAATTTTAAAAATATAATTTCACCATTCATCAACTGAATATAAAATGCGCTTTATCAATTTTTCTTGTACATTTTCTCAAAAGTTCATTTTTTGGACCAAAATGACCCTACTGCACTGAACCTAGAAACTTAGGCAAAATTACAAATCTAATGCAATGTGTGTACTTGAAGGTGATAAATCATTAATAAAAGTGTCCTAATTGATAAATAAAAGTGGGTAACAAATGTGTTCTATCAGATCTACTAGAGCAAGCAAAATTAGGAGTAAAGACAGTGTTTCTGACCTATTACTTATCGAGTAAGTCACATACTATTTTAACCACTGATTTTACCCTATTTTCTCTTAGTTTTAACTAGTGAGAAATTGAATTTTGGAGTTTTAAAGAGTTAATTTCTTACCCTATAGTAATAGAAAGGTTATTCAGAACTAAAATAGTACTTTGTCACTAGTTTAGGTTAAAATGATAAAGCTTTAAAACTATAGGCAAGATTTGCCCTAATCTAGAGAGAGAATAGTGAGAAAATTTGCTAGAAAAGATTAAAGTTTGAAATGAGGGGTAATTAGTGGTAATATGTGTAATCGAGTGTAAATTATGGATTTGATAACAATTAGGTGTGTTATGACGATAACTGGCACTTTTTATCAATAATGGAATTGACTTGGAATGCCAATTTTGTATAGATTCTAGTATGTGATGCACAAATTACGAGAAAGGAGCTTGAATAGAATCATTGGAACATGGGTAACCCTTTTTAGTAAATAGAAGGGTTAAGGTAATCGTACAGTTTATTGTGTTTATTAACTATCATAACTGTGTAGAAGTAAATACCAAATGAGAAAACTTGTTGTTTTATGAGTTTTATGCATGATTTGATGTTGAAAATGGTTTTAGTATGAACATTGATTTGTAAAATGATATCTGATTTCTAGTAATATATGTGTATTATGATATTATATGCTATGGAAACAAAAGGAGTAGAGTTCACCTAGAATATGTAGGGATGTGTGTGTGAAGATATGTGAGTGAAAAATTCATATAGTCAGGTTGGCACTATGAGACATCTGATGTAGCATATTACAGGTTGGTACCATGAGTAATCCGATACAGCATATTATAGGACTATTATAATGGGACATCCAAGCAGTCTGGCAACTCTCTAGTGCTCGTTAGGGTGCGGTTAGGAGTCAACGATGCCTCTATCACAAGTGTATGAAGAGGGAAAAATCATAGTCTGTAGGTGGGTTAGATTACCTTTGGCTGGATGTTTCTACCACCAAAAGTGTACTCAGGTCAATAACTGGTTGATTCAGGAGAGTCTATGGTTTCATATTCGAGAGCATTGGAGGTTCGGTGGCTAAAGGATCATACTAGTGTGTTTTTATGTGAAATTCCTTCAAAATGATGCTATGTCTTCATACATTTATATATACGTGATATTACCTTAGTTTTGATACTTTGGCATGGTTATTTGTGGTAATAAATATTAATGAACTATATTGGTTACTAAGAGTTTTATCTTACCCATGGTTATTTATAATTTTTAGGTTTTGGTACTAGTGGGTCGAAGAGGAAAGATATTCACTGAGTAGAGACCTCTCACTAAGCCTTTGTAAGATTCTGGTATATGAAGTTGTTGTTATTAGTCTTGAATGTGTATAAGTTGCCATAGGATTCATATATGTGCATAAAGATGTGATTGTGTTATGTTTGATAATTTTAAGTTCCCTAGTGTTATACATGTGGGAATGGTGAAATGATTAGATGGGCTAGTGGAAGAATATATGCGTGTGACTATGAGATGTTTGAAGAGTATGTGTGATGATTTGGCCATGTATGAGATTAAAGAAGTGAAATGTGATTTTGGCCTAAAAGAGTGAAATGGGTGGTTTACAAGTCAAATATGTGTATGTGTATATGTGTTATGTTGTACATGTGTATGGTCAATTAGGTGTGTATTGTACATTTAGACGTGGTTAAAGCCTAAAAGTGGCTAATGATATTTGGTTTCAAATTGAGACACTTGAGTGGTAAAATTTTAGTAGAAAACGGTCAAAATACACTTGGGTGTCCAATTTTTGATAAAAATATTGGAACTAGTATCATTAGTTAGATTTCAAAATAATCTTCGTGTGCATTTGAACCATCCCAATCAGACATTAGATGTGAAAATTGCGCATGTCTTAAATTCGCACTAGAAAACTGCCTTTTAACAGTAATTTCAAGTGTGTGTGTTGTGGCGCATGTACTTGCATGACGCGGTGCACGGCACAAAGCGAATAGTTAAGGCCTCTATGCCATATGCCACGGTGCATGTGGCACGAGTTGTGGCGCACGGTGCCAAATTTTACTTTGTTTTCCTATTTTGCACATGTTTTCTTGGTCTTTGATGCATATATTCATATTGCTTCCGCTGTGTATTAGGATTTTATAACCCGAATGAGTTTTGAAATGATTTCTAAAAATTTTTATTTAGGATCCCAAGGTTTTTAAATTTAATGGTTTTGAATTGATTGTAATGGAGCGTATGGTAATGTCAATTAGGGCATTACACTAGATATTACTTGTCCTTCTTTATAAAATATTTTTAACTATTTACCACATATTAAAAAATCAATTACAGTTAATTGATACTTTAAAAACTATTTTTCAAAAAAAAAAAACGTTTTAATTAAAGGGTTAAAAGACAAAAATGTTCTAGAACTTTTTCCCTTCCTACCCTCTCTGTACTTTGAAAGTTCCCACTCTCTTGTCTCTCTTTCTCGCTCCTCTCTGCCGCCCACTGCCATAACCTCTGCCTCTCCTTTGTCCTTTTCTCCCCCTCTCTCTTCTCCTCCACCCTCTATCACCTTTGCTCTCTCTACCCCCTACGAAGTACCTTTTCAATGCTTGCTACCTCTTCTCCCTTGAAATTCTCTCATTTTGTGATCACCACTCTACCATTTCATCTTCTTCCATTAACTGATTGGCTAACAGGTCCTTAACTCTTCAAGTTTGGTTCCTATATGCATGGAAGAGCCATGAAGATCAAATAAAAGATGGCCATGGCCTCAACTACCCTCTTGCTTCCTAGCATCACGACATGCTTTGTCACAATACTCGACGGAGAATGAAGAAGGAGCTATACATCAGAGGCTTCAATTCATTTGGGGTCTAAAGGCACACAATAGTGCCTTCTTAGTGGGGCTTCCGTTAAGCACTTATTAGTGTCTTTGCAAAGATGGTGAACTTAATGAGAGCCACTATATTGAGTAAAAAAGGAAAAAGGAAAGCAAGGAGGAGACCCTCTCTTCCACCTGTATGTTGTGGGCAAGATTTTTCAAATTGCTGTTATCATAAATGGTCTCATTCTCATTGGAGTTGTCGCTAGCTTTGTTCTTTGGGTTAAGGACTACTTTTTGTCCCTGTACTATACGCGAAGTGTCACCAATGCCTTTAAATATAATTATGGGTCAAATTTATCCATCAACTTTAAAGATTTTATTTTTGATCACCTTACTATTTTCTCACCTTTATGATCGTCAATAGGCCCACATTATATTTCTTAATATTTTTTGTTATAAAATATTTGAGTTGAGAAGAAAAAATGACCCTTTGAATAGTAGTTGAGGCAAAAATGACCATTGATTTAATAAAAAAATATTAAAAATATTGGGACTTATTGATGACTAATAGATATTAAGTGTTTTCAATGTCAGGGTAATGATGAAAGAAATCTTTAAAGTTGAATGATAGAATTAACTTATAATTGAATTTAGGAGTATTTATGATTTTTTGTATATAGTTTAAAGACAAAAATGACCCTTAACTCTTTTGCTTTTTTATGAATTCAAGCATGGTTGGAGGAGTATGAGGCTTAGAAAAATTGCCAATGGTTAGAAAAATAGTGTAGAGAAGGGGGGAATGATGTGTAAAATATGTAATCAAAGTAAAATTTTATGATCAAACGTTATTCAATGGTAATGGTAAGGTGAACTTATATTCTTTTTTAAGTTTCGAGGATGATATAGAATTATTTAAAGGAAAAATGATAGAAAAGTCTTAAAATGACTAATTAATTCAAATTAAGTTTCAATTGTCAAATTTAAAAAATTTGTAAAAAATTATAATTCAATCTTTTAATATTGCAATTGCGTTAGATGAATTTATAACTTATTTTTTAAATTTTAATATAATTAAATTTATCATAATGTAATTGTAAAATTGAGAGATGAATTTATAAATTTTTAAAATTTAATATTTAAAATTTAATTTGAATTAACTTATTCTCCTCCCTTCATGACAAAGCATGCCACGTGGACAGTGACGGGACAAAATTCACACGGGAAGGCTCTTTCTGTCGGTACGTTGAGCCATTCCCTCGCGAAGTTGTTTCTTTTAAACTTCGCAGCTCGCAACTCACTAGAGCCCCATTTCACTCTCACAGTTCCCGCATCGGGTTTCAGAATTCGCATTCACCGGTTCTTTCAGTACTTGAATATGAACTATCGACAGAGGCTCCAAGTTGTGGCGAAAGTCGTACTTGAACATGACGCCTGCGACGCCGACGCGCCGCTTCACCCTCAAGAGCTTGGGATCAAGGCGACCCTTAAACCCCACCAGGTGGAGGGAGTTTCGTGGCTCATACGAAGATATAAACTTGGCGTCAACGTTCTCCTCGGTGAGATTTCATCTGTAATCTCTTTTTCTCTGTGTTTGGGTTGCTCAGAAGGTCTGAGAAATTTAAACTAAGAATTGGGATGTTTTGGTTTGAGGAGTTTCTCTTTTGAAATGTTGTATTGTTCAAGAGCGAATGAAATATATGGAAGTTTGCACTATTTTTTGGGGAAAGGCAATATGAACATTTGAATAGATGTAAATACATCAATTCATCTTCTTTTCCAGTGATCAATATCGGTTTAATAAAACTCCGTTCGTGATTATTTCTTAGTTTTGTCTGTGATTTTATTTCCATTTCTCGTACGTAAGGAAAATAAACTATTTGGTGGACCAGTCTGTTAACTTGTTACATTGGTCTTCGAAGCATTGACTATATCGAATGGCTAATTTAATTTTAGCTGCATTAGATTTTTTTCCCCCCCACTAAGGAAACAACTTCATCATGTAGTGATCAAAATGTCACCTTTATTTGCAGGGGATGAGGTAATCTTCCTTCAATTTAATATTGGAGACTAATCAGTTATTGGAAAGGGAAAATATTTGGTATCTGATTGGTCTAACAATTAAGAAATTCGCCCTTTACGAAGTGAATTTTCTGGTAATTCTTTGCTGTTGCTTTCATCCTGTGAAATAAATAGATACTCAATATAGGAGAAACTTTATGCTCCATGAAATTCATTAACTGCTACTAAAAATTGTTGGTGGGAAGGATGAAAACTCTCTGTTGTATTTGATATACTATTTGAGCGTGTTCGGAGGACTAGTAAGGATTTTACTCTTCTAGCTGAATCATGGAAAGGTTTTGCGCTGCCTTGTTAAAGACAGTGGAAGCTAAAGATGAGTTTCTCTGCTATGAATGATGGCATATAGAAATTCCATGAAGAAAGCATCAAATATAAGAAAGGAGAAGGTGGTGCTATAATGTTGAAAATTAACTTCAATATTTAATATGCTCGAGAAAACACTTAAGTTGTTAAGCACATTGGATCTTCAAGAAGAGGATCTTGTTGATAACCATTTTAACTGAATTGTTGCACTCAATTACTATTAATTTTTATGTGAAAGAGAAAATTGGCTTTTAAATTATATGTTCAGAAGCGTCTGTGACCCAAAACTTTTTTTTTTTTTTTTTGGTGTAGTGTTTTTCTTTAACTTTTGAAAACGGTGTAATTTGGCCCCTATTATTAACAAAGTAAACTTTGACTGTTTGTTGACTAGAGAATGACAAAAAAAGACCTCAAAAATTACATAAAAAGACCAATAAATTTTTCTTGGTTCTTGTTTATAATTTTTTGAATCCTTGTCTGTAATTTTTGGGTTCTTTACCGTAATTTTTGATCATTTTTTGTTGTTTTTTAGATTCTTTTCTGTTATTTTATGTCTAACTAATTGTCAAAGTTAACATTGTTAACAGCAAATGCCAGATTGCACTGCTTTCAAAAATTAAAAGAGAACATTGCACAAAAAATGAGTTTGGGGTCCTAGACACTTTTGGACATATAGTCTAGGGACCATTTTATTTTTTTACCCTTAGTAGTTCAAGGAAGATTGCTTGTTGTCGTCATTAGTAGACCTTGTGATGTAGAATATGAAGATCAGCAATAAATAAAACTTGGTAATTCTATTTTGTAATATAATGTGATGAAGGTAATTCTCTACGAATGACTTTGGGTCTATTTATAGCAATTCTAATTAGAAAAAATCTATTGTAGCTGAAAAGAACACATTGGAACTCTTACTAAATGGCTGATTTTAAACACTAAATTACCCCTAATTTCTAATTACAAGCCAAAATCCTAATGATAATTTCATTATAAAAGAATAAAAATAACAATCTTTTGCATATTCCATTCTGCACTACTTGCATTATGGTTGGGAGACTCATGGTTTGGCAAAAAAGTGGTTGTGTCTTTGTTCAATACATGTGTGACGCTTGTATTATAAGATATGACACTATTGACACTTATAATTACAGTGGATATTTTCATTCTTTTTTTGTTTTTGGTCTCACCATGTCTGTGTCAGTTTGTCCATGTATAAACTAACACATTGTAACTTGTTATGATGTTTGTTGTGCATGACTGATTGTATAAGCTTATTGTTTGAGATTTTGTATGATTGTTATTGCATTATGTTATGTACCAAAGGGGAGTAAGGTTGGTCCTGATTGAGAATTTTGTGCAAGATATTTGATAAAAGCGAAAAAAATTCTTGCTCTAGTTTATTTATATATCTAAGATGCCATAGTTGTGGCATGAGAAGACTCTACCATGAGTAACAATTGTCATTGCCACCAACTACTTCCAGAACTGTCATAACTACCATCAGCATTCACACCACTGCCACTTAATGTTGTTTCTACCACCACCATTGTTTTTCAATAGTATATCACTTTTATGTGTAATGGTTTCTTTGTCTGAATAAATAAATTTTAATTTTATCCAACCTTATACCACCTCATGTATTATAATTTATAAGTCGATGCAATTAATGGTAAAATAAATGCTTAGATGCTAGATGGCTCTGACAATACTATTTAGTAGTACTTATACTGTTCGTGTGTGCAAGTTAGTTGTGTGTCCTTGAAATCATGTTTATTGTTGTGATTTCAAGGATGACTAGAAGCCAACGACTCCCCCCATATTTTGTCTCCATTGGTTCTCTGTCTTCAGTTTCCATTATTTCCAATTTGGTGTCCAATATTCATTTTTATTTTCTGTTCCTTTTTGTTTAGTTTTTGATGAGACCCTTTGTATTAATGAACCAGAAAACAGCAAATACGCAACAGCAGAGCACAAAATAAGGGAAATCCTGAGGTTTTAAGATTGATATGATAAGATGCTGAATCAGAGTTACAAGAGGGACTCCTTAATTCAGTATAAAACCCTATTCCCTTGGTTCAATGGTAAATCACAGCAGCTAAAGTAAACACAATCACCCCTAATACAGAACACTTTCTGGCTTTCGAGAGGCCAGTCCTCTCCTTCCCACACTCAGAATACAAAAATGACATAACCCACTTGGGGACCTCAAGCACAACTATAAACCCAAGAGATAGCTGTCACGGACTCCAAAAAGAACCCTCTCCTAGGCCAGGTCAAAAGCAACTTAAAAGCAGCCTTAGTTGGTATTTCCTTGCTCCAGAATAGTTGGAGAGGTCAGGTCAACGTTCTGACCATTTGAAGGCATCTTTCTTTTTTCATGCTTCTTCTTAGTTCTCCTTTTGTAGGTCTGGGTAGCAAAAGCAATCCTATCATTACCCTCTCCTAAAAGTTTCACCTTGTCCTCAAGGTGAAAATCAGGGAATTGCTTAGAAATTGTCTCAGCATTCTCCCAACTATTCTCAAAATCCTGCATATCTTGCCGTTTCACAAGTACTTCACATTGTCCATTTAAGAGTTTCCTGACTTTGAGAATGTCCTGAGGCTGCACTTGCAATTCTAAATCTTCCGACAATGCTGTAGGTAGAATGGGAGTGATTGCTGCAGCATGTACAGCCCTCTTAAGGTTGGAAACGTGAAAAACAGGGTGAATACATGCAGTAGGGGGTAGTTCCAGCCAGTATGCCACTGTCCCCACCCTCTCTAAGATCTTGAAGGGTCCATAAAAGTGAGGACTAAGCTTCTCGTTGATCCGTTTGGCCAGGGATTGCAGTTGATAAGGTCTGATTTTGACATAAACTTGATCCCCTACTTCAAATTGAACATCCCTTTTATGTTTGTTGGCTTGCTCTTTCATCGTGCACTATGCCTGCAGTAAATTTTCCTTCAAAGTGGCAATGATCAGATTCCTGGCTTGAACTTGTTCATTGACAGCTTCAAGAGTGGATGGCTCTTCACTCAACTTGAGGAAAGTAAGGGGGTCTCTTCCATAAACAGCCTTGAAGGGAGTCATGTTGGCAGCACTTTGGTATGAAGTGTTGTACCAATATTCAGCCCAAGATAACCACTTACCCCACTGATTTGGTTTCTCATTGGTAAAACAACGTAAATATGTCTCTAATCCTCGATTTAGCACCTCGGTTTGGCCATCGGATTCTGGATGGTAAGCGGAGCTAAGACATAATTGGGTGCCCACTTGCTTAAACAACTCCTTCCAAAATTGGCTGATAAACACCCTATCTCGGTCGGAAACAATTGTTCTTGGGAAGCCATACAACTTAACGATCTCGGAGACAAAAATTTCAGCAACATCCTTAGCAGTGAATGGGTGAGCTAAGGGCAGAAAATGGGCATATTTAGTGGGCCTATCAACAACAAGAAGAATGGTGTCATAACTCTTGGATTTAGGGAGCCTAGTAATAAAATCCATGCTAATATCCTCCCATATGCTTTGTGGAATAGTGAGAGGTTGCAAGAGTTCTGCTGGAGATAAAGCTTGGTATTTATTTATTTTTTTTGACAAACATCACATTGTGCCACATAAAGCTGGATATCTTTCTTCATGTCTTCCCAATATACTACATTAGCCAATCTTTGTAGGTGTGAAGATAGCTGGAGTGTCCGCCAACCGGTGAATTATGAAAATCCTGCATTAATAAGGCAATAGAATAGCATAAGCACCCTTTCTTTAAGCTGTTCCCTTCCACACTTTATGGCTTGGCAATGAGCTGCTGTAGAATTTGATGTAGCTTGGGGTCTAATTGAACCTCTTTCTCCCACTCTTCAATGTCATCATGCTGCCATAGGGAGAAGCCGAACAGTTCCATAGGTTCTTCTTGCTTGGAAAGAGTATCCGCAGCCCTATTCTCCTTCCCGGGCTTGTAGACAATCTCAAATTTGAAACCCATGAGTTTTGAAACCCACTTTTGTTGATTTTCTTCAACTATTCTCTGCTCCAGGAGGTACTTCAAAGCCTTTTGATCAGTGCGGATAGTGAATTTCTGTCCCCATAAATAATGTCGCCATTTCTTGATTGCCATGACAACAGCCATGAGCTCCTTCTCATAGATAGAGCATTGTTGCGCCCTATTAGAAAGTCTTTGGCTATAGTATGCTACGGGCTGCCCCTGTTGCATCAGTACAGCGCCTATGCCAGACCCAGAGGCATCCATTTCGAGTTCAAAAGGAGCGGCAAAGTCTGGCATGGCAAGGACCGGAAGAGTGGTCATTGCTGTTTTGAGCTGTTCAAAGGCTTGTTCGGCTTCTTGAGTCCATTGAAGGCATCTTTTTTAAGTAAATCTATGAGTGGACTTGCTATTTTGCCATAGTTTTTGACAAACTGCCGATAATACCCGGTCAGCCCTAAGAACCCTGGCAAGGCTTTCACATTCTTGGGCTTAGGCCATTTCAATATGCTGTCAATTTTTTCTAGGTCAGCTTGGACTCCTTCCTTCAAAATGATATGACCAAGATACTCAATTCTTGGTTGAGCAAAACTACATTTCTTCAAGTTAATCACCAATTGATTTTCTTTCAAGCATGTTAGTACCACATTTAAATGCTTTAAATGGGAATCTAAATCAGTGTTGTAAATGAGGATATCATTAAAAAACACTAGCACAAACTTATGTAAATGCTCTCTAAATACCTCATTCATCAATGATTGAAAAGTTGAAGGGGCATTAGTCAAGCCAAAAGGCATCACCTTAAATTCATAATGGCTCTCGTGCATTTGGAAAGCAGTTTTGTGCTCATCACCAGCTTTGATTCGTATTTGATGGTATCCGGATTTCAAATCCAGCTTTGAAAACACAGTAGCTCCCTTTAATTCATCTAGCAATTCATCAATGGCAGGAATTGGAAATTTGTTGAGTACTGTAATCTTATTCAAGGCCCTGTAATCAACACAAAACTTTCAGCTTCCATCCTTCTTTTTCACCAGCAAAACAGGACTGGAGTAAGGGCTGTTGCTAGCTTGTTTAATCCCTGTCTTCAACATATCTTTCACCATATTTTCTATCTCATTCTTATATTTGGTGGTTGCTTGCTAGGTTTGATGGTTATAGCATGATCCTTGGCTCGTGGAGGTGGTAATCCTTCGAGAGCTTGACACACTATTGGAAATTGTTGCAACAACTCCTCTATTTTTGGGGCTAGACTTACGGGTTCTCCATTCTCCCCTATCAATCCTTTATACTCAATTAAATACCCCTCCCCCTCCTTCATAGAATGCATTAGAGACTTAAGAATAGTCTAATTTTTTGATAAGGTGGGATCACCTTGTAAACAAACTCGGTTGTTTTTCTAGCCAAATTTCATAGTCAATAAACTCCAGTTCATTTTTACATCAGCTAGTGATTTAAGCCACTCTATAACCAAGACAATGAAATGCTATTTAGAGGAAAAGGGTAGAATGTTTGAATTATGTCAATGCCCTGTACCTTCAAGTGGAGGTCCTTACAGCATTGCTTCCGTTTAAGAGTGTACCCATCTCCTACTGTAATTGTGTACTCTGATATCTCATCCATTGGGAAATCGTTTTTGCTGCGTAGTTCCTCCGAGATGAAATTGTGGATGACAATTTCTTCTTCCCCAATTCAGCCTCTTACCTTCATGGTGTGGTTGTCACCACATCCAGCTATGGAGTTTAGAGAAAGTTCCATATGTGTGGCTTCTTCCTCTTCCCCATTGCACTCTCTTTCCAGTTCTTGCGTACTCTCGGTACCCTCTGCGTCTTTTTCAAAATTCATTTCCAATAACATTACTTGGTAGTGTTTGTTTTTGCATTGATGATTCGGGCCAAATTTGTCTCCGCATTTGAAACAAAGTCCCAGCTCCCTTCGGCGATTAATCTTTAGCATCTGAGAGTCTTTAAGAAAAGCCTCCCCGCTGAAAGGTGGATGAACTCGCCGAATTGCCCTGAAACTTTGACTCCCCTGTTTTCGTTTTGGCCTTCTTGTTTGCTTCAGTGGTCACGTATGGTGAACTTGCAGTGATTGTGGTCTTGCTCGCTTTTGGTATGTGTGTTACATGTGAGAAATAAGGTTGGGCCTGGTTAGTTTTAGGCCCAGATGGATACCATTGAAACCCAAGTCTCTGTGGACCTTTGTCTTCCTCAAGTATCTGGTACGCACAGAGTAGATTCAATAACTTCACGGGGTGAGCCTCAATTCCGCTTTGACTTCAATCCTCAACCCATTTTGAAAAGCGCCGATGAGACACTCCTCTGAAGCTTCCCTTAATGGTGCGGATAAACGCTCAAATTCCTCCACATACTCTAGCACAGTGTGTTCTTGCTTCGCTGAAAAAAACATCTCATATTCCCCCCCACGTTGAGTAAAATGAAATTTGCGTAGCAACTTGCTTTTGAATTTAGCCCAGCTTTGCAATGGGGTTTGTGTGTCAATCCATTGGTACCAATTAAGTGCTCTCCCTTTAAGATAGACCATCACAGCTTCTATCTTTTCTTGCTCTGCCATGGTGTTGACCAGGAAGTAGCGTTCCACCCAGAAAAGCTAGCCCAATGGGTCTTCTCCAGCAAAAACAGGTAACTCTAATCTTCTATACTTTCCACCATCCCTCTCACCATGTGGGTTACTCCCACACGCGTCCCTATGGTTACCGGCCTCTTGTTCTTGTACATGAGTTTCGGCCATTGTTCTCTGTATTAGTCCTAATGCCTTATTCGTCTTCTCTAGTGTCTTCTTGATGGTGATTATATCTCTTGTCAACACATCTACTATCTCCTTTAGCTCCTGCACATCCGGATTTGCATGTTGCACGCACTCATTCATTATCACAGTGATCTGTGTAACCCCCTAAGATCTCACTGCTTTGATGTCAAATGATGGGTACCTAAGTGGGATGGGGAACCTTACTCCAAAAGCTAGTTATTGAAGTGGGAAAACCAACTCACTTATATACCCTATTGAGCATCCCATACTACTCAATGTAGGACTTGGTATCCCATACTACCAAGTCTTTATCAATTGGCCCTCTATGGAAAGCCGACGTCCCGATTGCTGCACCCCACAGTACTTAACTCGGTCTCCTTTCGGTTAGACCCCTTTGTGGGTAGCCCTTTTCGGAACCGCTGACAACGAGGCTCTGATACCAAATGATGAGACCCTTTGTATTAATGAACCAGAAAACAGCAAGTACGCAACAGCAGAGCACAAAATAAGGGAAATCCTGAGGTTTTAAGATTGATATGATAAGATGCCGAATCAGAGTTACAAGAGGGACTCCTTGATTTGTTATAAAACCCTATTTCTTTGGTTCAATGGTAAATCACAGCAACTAAAGTAAATACAATCACCCTTAATACATAACACTTGTTGGCTCTCGAGAGGCCAGTCCTCTCCTTCCCACACTCAGAATACAAAAATGACATAACCCACTTGGGGACCTCAAGCACAACTATAAACCTAAGATATAGCTGTCACGGACTCCAAAAAGAACCCTCTCCTAAGCTAGGTCAAAAGAAACTTTAAAGCAGCTTTAGTTGGTATTTCTTTGCTCCATAATAGTTGGAGAGGTCAGGTCAACGTTTTGACCATCTGAAGGCATCTTTCCTTTTTCACGCTTCTTCTTAGTTCTCCTTTTGTAGGTTTGGGCAGCAAAAGCAATCCTATCAGTTTTCTTCCCTCTTATCCTTTCTTTCTTAAGATCGAATCCAGAAGCTAAGCTGTTGCTATGTTTCCTTATGATACCATATTCTTTTCCTCATGACATACATAAGTTATTTTTTTGCTCTTGTGTCTCTGGTGGAAAATAAAACTGGAGAAGTAGACACGGCATTTCCGCATCCTGAACGCATGTCCGTGTCAGATATATATCTGACACAGGCACAGTGGGATTTTGCACATATCCGTGCTTCCCAGCTTCTTATGTTCTGCTTCATTGCTGTGTATTATTTTATTGCATTTGTTCACATACACTGAGCTCTGTTATATTGATTCAAGCAGTTGGTGATGTGCTTGATTTTTTATTTTACCTTCCCTTTCCGGGTTAAGTAGATGCAACGTTGAAAAATCTCGGTCATAATCATTTTGTTAGGATACAACGGAGAACATTTTTTTTATATATATTTTTATTTTTCTGTGCTGCATGTTAATCATTGGCAGATGGGACTGGGCAAGACATTGCAAGCTATCTCCTTATTGAGCTATTTAAAAGAGTGTCAATTGTCAGTTGGACCATTTTGTGAGTGAAGAAACCTTGTTTGTTTGAAAACGTTAACTTTTCCTGCCCCATATCTTTTGCTTTCCTTATTTTCTTTTACCTTTTGCAGTGGTTTTATGTCCTCTAAGTGTAACAGATGGATGGGTTTCAGAGATAGTTAAATTTGCCCCCAAACTAAAAGTAATCAAATATGTTGGAGGGAAAGAATACAGATGCAGCCTACGGAGGAATATTCATGAGCATGTAAAGGGACAGTCGACAGCAGTCAATGTAAGTGCAGAGACTCACCTGTTCATTTGTATGTTAACTGATTTTCATTTTATTATGTTTATGTATATTAATATATTTTGCAACTGAATTCCTTGCTAGGCGTTGTTACCTTTTAACATCCTATTAACAACTTATGACATAGCACTGATCGATCAGGATTTTCTTTCTCAAATACCATGGCATTATGCAATTATTGATGAAGCTCAAAGACTTAAAAACCCTTCAAGTGTAAGTTGAAGACACTATAAAATGGCCATGTATAGTATTTAGTTAAATTTATGCTTTTGTATTTTAAACTTGTTGAATTATTTGTCAGTTTTATGGAACAATAATCATTATGTCTTCTATTGAATATGTATTTGGTATCACCAGACTGGGTATGGCTGGATAAACTTACCTGTATGTTAAATAGTTTTTTCATTTACATTTTTAATTTTTTATATGTTAAATTTGTAATTAAATTGAAAATGTTGCAAAATTAGAGCCAAAATAAAAAATCCTTGGTAGCTGGTAATAAATGTAATATTATCTATTTAAGATGTCAGATATCTCACTTGGTCAACCTTTTTTGACCCACTAGTTGTTTATATATAACATATTGGCTTGTTGATAAAAATTAGACAATGTAATTCTGAACTTAAAATGACATTTTAATTACCCTTTGCTAAGATTATTGGTGCTTTCTTCTGAAATGCTGACTCTTTAACAGGTTTTATACAATGTTCTCAAAGAGTGCTATGTCATGCCAAGACGGTTGTTGATGACTGGTACACCAATTCAGAACAATCTTTCTGAACTGTGGGCATTGATGTATTTTTGTATGCCTTCTGTCTTTGGTACGCTAGAACAGTTCCTTTCGGCATTCAAGGACATCAGTGATCCTGCATCAGGTTATTATTATTCATATTTTTATTTTTTATTATTCCAGAAGAGGGATGCAAACTTCTAGTATCTGAAATATGAATGCTTTATTGGATGTTGATCTTGATGTGCCTTCTTCTGATCAAGGGTTTACAGATTTTAAGGGAACTAATTTTTTTTTAGAGTTAATATGCTCCAAATTTTGCATTTATTAGAAAAAGTATTATGAGATCCTTATCATAAGTTGGAAAACTTTTCATCCAATTGAATGACCTGTGATGGTGTAAAAGTAGCTTAATTAGCATGAAACAGGATTTACATGTCATGGTTGTCTCGCTCTAACTTCTGCAGTTAGTGTTTCTGAACAGTTCAAAATGCAGTGAAGGTAAAGGAGCAACTTAAAATACTGAAATGTATATTAGGAGCTTTTATGCTTCGACGGACCAAGTCAAAGCTTATAGAGAGTGGAACTCTCGTGCTACCATCCCTCACTGAGATAACTGTGTATGTTAAATTTTGAATTAGCATTTACAAACAATTAAATGGAAATTCATGCTTTATTTTCTGATAAGTGATAACTAGAACTTCAAAGTCATCACTTTTGAATGTTGAAATATTTGACAGTATGGCACCCCTAGTGGGCCTGCAGAAAAAGGTCTACATGTCAATTTTGAGAAAGGAGCTTCCTAAGTTACTTGCCCTATCTTCTGGAACTTCAAATCATCAGTCTCTGCAGAATATTGTAAGCCAAGCATTCAAGCTCTTCTTTTTCTCCGTTTTCTGCAGGGGTAGAGCAATTTCTATTGTTCCATTTGTTACTTGAGGTGATGCGAATTGAATTTTGATGTAGCATTTGTTTAGCTTAACAGAATTGTAAACAGTCTTGTTTTCCTGCTTTAGAGATTGATTGAAAGTATTTGCATTTTTTATGGTCAAACTACAATTTTTTTTTTTTGTTTATTGCCATCAGAACTTGTGATTTTTATATATGGCTTATAATACACTTATTAATGTTGAGCTTGTCATAATTTGTTCAGTTATAGATTGGAGACACAGATTGATTTCATTGCGGCCTCATAAAAATAATTATCTTGAGTGTGATATGTTTTGTTTTGATAGTGAGTGCACTGTCTTGCATTTCCAATACAATTCTGAAGTGGAACATATGAAAAGGTGGCTTGGATTTCTGTGATATTAACTAATTATATTTTAACACATTTATATTCTTCTATCACTATCTTGGGATTCCCCTATTAAATGTGGATGCTAAATTAAATTCAAAGATTGTGAACAGGCCTCAAAGCATGACTTAAATTGAGGGTAATTTTGAAATTGCACAAGATATAACTAATATTAACTAATTTCATTAATTTACAGCAATGTTGTTGCAAGTTTCTTATAAAAAGGACTGGTGGTAGCGTTATTCTTTGATAGTATAATTGAATTTTCATATATGTATAAGGCACATTCATTCGAATTTGGTGGTGGCAGAGTACTGATTATGGTGGGATAATGGGTAATTTGAGAAGTTAGAAATATATTTGGAATAAACATTATTTTATTTTATTTTAGATATTTTCTATTTAATAATATTTTAGATTTTATTTAGATGTTTAGTTATCTAGATTTTATTGAGATATTTATTTAGATATTTATCTAAACATCTAGTTATTTAGATTTTATTCAAGCATTTAGTTATTTAGATTTTATTTAGTATTAGATCTAGATTCTAAGAGATTTTATTTAGTTTTTATTTTACCATCTAGTTATGTGGATTTTATTCATTATTTTAGATTATATTTAGCATTATAAATATGCTTAGTAACTCAAAAGCAGGCACATGATGAATAAAATAGACTTTTGAGACTTTTGGCCCTTTTGAGATTCTCCTAAGTGTGACTATTGAGAGAAATATAGAACGAGATTCTTGTTCTATATCATCTTGATAGATTTATTCCTTCTATTTTCTTCTATCAATTCTATATTCTCTTATTAATATTGTGAAGTTTGTGGTTCAAAATGTTATATCTGTTATTCATCGAGACAGAGGCAATATATACAGATTTTGGAATAAATGAAATCCCATGATCAAGCCTAAGATATCAGGATTTCAGAGTAAATATAAAACTAATGATCCTAATATCTTTGAGTATTCTACCAGATATTCTCTCATAAATGACACAGGATATTTACAATAATTACGATTCTATCCACACTCCTCCTCAAGTTGGATCATAGATGTTAATCATATCCAACTTGCTTATGTAGTTGTTAAAGGCCGACCCATGAAGTCCTTTTGTCAAAACATCTGTAGCTTGTAGGTTGGTTGGCAAATATATAAGGCAAATAGTTCTCTCTTCCACTTTTTCTCTTATAAAGTGTCTGTCTATTTTCACATGCTTGGACCTTTCATGCCATATAGGATTCAAAGCCATATTGATGGCTGCTTTGTTGTCACAATAAAGCTTTAGTGGAGCTTCCACTCTGACTTGTATTTCATCCATTACATGTTTTAACCATCATTCTTTCATTATTCCTTGAGTTAAGGCTCGTAATTCAGATTCAGCACTACTCTTGGAAACCACCCTTTGTTTTTTTACTATTCCAGGTTACTATATTTCCCCATACGAAAGGGCAATACCCAGATGTAGACCTTCTATCTGCATGAGTTCCTCCCCAATCTGCACCTGTATAGACCTCTATAGTTCTTTGTTTTGACTTCTTAAAGAACAACCCCCTATCAGGTGTCCCTTTCAAATACCTGAGAATTCTATATACTGCTTCCACGTGTTTTTTCCTTAGATCACACATGTATTGGCTGGCCATACTCACTACAAAAGCTATATCTAGTCTAGTGTGAGAAAGGTATATGAGTCTTCCTACAAGTCTTTGGTACCTTTCTTTGTCTACTGGTTCATTATTCCCTTCTTCAACTTCATCATCTGAGAGGTCTTCCCCTTCATCTAATTCATCCTTCGTCAGTGTCCTCTTTTTCTTCTTTACAACAATTGGTGTGTTGGTTGGCTTACAACCCAACATTTTGGTCTCTGTTAAAAGGTCCAGGATGTACTTCCTTTGAGAAACATAGATCTCTTTTTTTGGATCTAGCAACTTCCATTCCCAGGAAATATTTTAATTTCCCAAGATCTTTGACTTCAAATTCTCTTGCAAGAGCTGCTTTAATTCTAATAGTTTCTTCTCCATGGTCTCCAGTAATGATTATATCATCAACATACATGATGAGAATACATCTCTTACCCTCCTCATTTGTAACGAACATTGTGTGATCAGCGAGACATTGTTTGTAATCTTCAATCTTCAACACTCTAGAGAACCTGTCAAACTTGGCTCTTGGAGATTGCTTCAAACCATAAAGCGACTTCTTGAGTTTGCAAACCTGTCCATCTCTTCCTTCTTCAAATCCTGGGGGTAGTGACATATATACTTCCTCTTTCAATTCTCCATTTGGGAAAGCATTTTTAATGTCTAATTGTTGGAGCTACTAGTCAAGATTAGTTGCAACAGATAATAACACTCTAATGGTGTTTGGTTTGGCTACAGGAGCAAACGTCTCTTTATAATCTAAGCTTTTTGTTTGAGTAAATCTCCTTGCAACCAATCTAGCTTTAAGTTTGTTGAGGTTACCATTTTCATCATACTTGGGGATAAACACCCACCTGCATCCAACCACCTTCTTGCCTTTAGGTAGATCCACAATTTCTCATATGCCATTCTTCTCCAAGGCTTTCATTTCTTCCTGGAATGCATCTCTCCATTCAGGTATTTTTAGTGCCTCATGAACATTGTTGGGAATCTTCACCCTATCAAGGTTAGTAATAAATGCACTATACCGTGGAGAAAGAGCATTATAACACACATACTTCTTTATTGGATGTTGGGTGCAAGATCTAGGTTGCTTTCTTACAGAAATTGGCAAATCTAGATCATTTGTAGGTGTTTCTTCCTTAACAACCTCCTCTTCTAGTTCCATGTGGTTGGGTTCAGGATCCTCTATCGGATTGGACTCTGGAAGTGCTGTGGGCATGATGGTATTATTGTCATGTTTCCTCTTCTGTTCATAAACCAGTGTAAAGTCTTTGCTTTTACCTGCTGAGATGGAAGAAGGTGTCTGGGTTTCAGGTAGCACAACAGGTTTAGGAACTCTCTCCCCCTCACTTTTCAAAAACTGATATTTACCATGCCACTCCCCCTGAATAGAAGGTTTTGGAAAGAATGGTTTGTGTTCAACAAACGTAACATCAAGACTGGTGTAGAGACGTTTAGTAGTAGGATCATAGCATCAATACCCCTTTTGTGAGGGAGAATAGCCCAAGAAAACACACTTGACCGCACGAGGCTCAAGTTTAGAGTACTGAGAAATTTGAACAAAAGATGTGCAGCCAAAAACTTTGAGAGGAATTGAGGATGTGAAGTGAAATGGATTAAGAGATTCTTTGAGTTTGTCTAGTGGAGTGGAGAAAGAGAGAATCCAACTTGGCATTCGGTTAATGAGATAAGTGGCAGTAAGAATAGCATCCCCCCAGAAATATTTAGGAACATTAGATTTAAACATTAATGCTCGAGCAACCTCAAGGTGTCAGTTTTTTCTTTCAGCAATCCCATTTTGTTAGGGACTGTTAGGGCAAGTACTCTTATGGAGGATACCATTATTCTTGAGAAAAGTACCCAATTGATTATTAAAATACTCAGTACCATTATCAGTGTGAAGAACTTGAATGGAAGTATGAAATTGAGTTTTGATCATAGTATAAAATTCAAAGAAAACAAAAGAGACATCACTTTTGTCTCGTAATAGATAGACCCAACAAAGTCTGGTGTGGTCATCAATAAACATGACAAACCATTTTGAATGTGTTCAATTAGGAATCTGTGATGGACCCCATAAATCACTATGAACAATAGAAAAGGATGAGACGATTTGTATTCAGATTGAGGAAAAGTAGTTCAATGGTGTTTAGCTAGTTCACACTCATCACAATGAAAAGAAGTTATTTTATTAGAATAAAGTTCAGGAGACAAATATTGAAAATTTAGGTGACTCATTCTCCTATGCTATAACATAATATCCATAGTGGATTTATTTTCAGAGGTAGAAACTAAATTGCATTGAATGCAAGACCACAAGGTACTCACAGTTGATTCATCTAGATAATAAAGACCATCATGTTTCTTAGCACTGTCAATCATTTTCCTCGATAGAAGGTCCTGAAAAATACAATGAGTGGAACAAAAATGAGCCCAACAGTTTGCATGTTTTGTGATTGTACTAATAGATAGAAGATTGCATGCCAAATAAGGAACATGTAAAACAAATTCTAATTTCATATGCTCAGATATAACCACACTTCCCCTGCCAGCAATAGTAGAGGATGACCCATTTGCTGTGTTGATTGTTTCATTGCCCGCACAAGGAGTGTATGTACTAAATAACTTAGAATCACAAGTCATGTGATCAGATGCACTAGAATCCACTATCCATTTAAAGTTATTTAAGGTAGAGAGGAAAGCCCATGTACCTTTTTGAGCTATAGAAGCAATAGGTTGGATTTTTAAGATGAGTCAGTCTTTTGTAAGATGCTTAACAGCTCAAGAAGTTTACCTAGTCGCTCTTGGCCCATCTTAGGGAAGGTAGGTGACTCAACATAGTCATTGTCATTGGATGCTTGGTAGGCACAAGACCCTCCCTTCTTTGGTTTCCAATTTGGTGGTTTCCCATGTAGGTCCCAGCATACATCTTTAGTGTGACCTACTTCTTACAGTGCTCACAAGTCAGCCTTCCTTTCTTACCCTTTGGATTGGTGTCATTGCTGCGACTAACCAACGTAGACGGTTTCGAGGGTAGGGATGGAGGAGGAAGGGGGTCAGGCAACATTACCTTGCACCTAGATGTTTCACGATGAATTTCTAAGAAGACTTCTTGAGTTGACGGGAGGGGTAATCTACTTAGAATTCTGCTTCAAATATCATCTAGTGATGAATTCAGTCCAGCCAGGAATTGAAATACACATTCATGCTCAATCTTCTCCTTATATTTCACTCCATCACTTGGATCTTTCTATTCCTCATCAGACATGAGGTCGAGTTCTTGCCAGATTGCCGTCATCTCGAGCCAATACTCTGTTTTGGTGTGTTCCCCCTGCTTCAACGACTAAGCTTTTGTCTTTAACTCATACAGTTTTGCAAGGTCTTTAGCATTAGAATAGGAATCAAGAGCAGCAACCCAGATATCTGTTGCAGTGGGTAAAAACAGGAAGCTTCGCTTGATTTCAGGAATCATAGCGTTGATAAGCCAAGAGGAGACGAGCGAATTATCCATGTGCCACTGTGTGAAGGCCTATGATTCTGTTTCACTGAGTATCTTTGCAGCCCTAGTGAGGAAATTCATCTTGCCTTTGCCACCAATTGCTAACTTGATAGCTTGCGTCCACTCGCGATAGTTCGACCCATTTAGTATGTCAGTTACGATCAGTACTAAAGACCCTTTGAAGCCAACAATTGACCCGTGGGGATTGCTGGCTTTGCTCAAGTCTCTCGACGAGGATCCCACGGTCTTAGACATCAGGTCTATTGTCATACTCGTAAGCCGCGAAGAGTTCGAGTCATCTGAGGTACTGTTGTTGTAGCTGTCAGAGTCACCGTTGGAGATGTGAAAGTTATCCGGCTCTAATACCATGTGGTTTAGAATGCTATATCTGTTATTCATCCGGACAGAGGCAATATATACAGATTTTAGAATAAATGAAACCCCATGATCAAGCCTAGGATATTGGGATTCTAGAGGAAATATAAAACTAATGATCCTAATATCTTTGACTATTCTACCAGATATTCTCTCATAAATGACACAATATTTACAATAATTACGATTCTATCCACAAAGTTAGATTCTAATTTCATGTGTTAATAGATATTTATGTTACTTATTTCTCTCTACCTATCTTGGATCCTACCAGGTGGGTGCATGATTGTGAACTCCTGTAATTCTTTCAAGCTCTCTCATTTGTCCTAGACAAACTCTCTTAAAAACTCAGATTTCTTGGATGAGTGAGGAGTTTTGTCCTTTTCACTTCCATTCTTATAATTAATTTCATCACAAGACTTAAGTGGGTTTACTTCTTGATTTTTCAAGCCGGAAGGATTTTCTCATGAGGAGGATGTTAAAGGTGTAACAAACCATTCTCATCATCTTAAGCTTTGAGGGAGAGTTGGTTTCTTGATGATATTATTCTGTTTATGTATTACATTTGGCCTGTGGTGGAATTGTTACCTTTTTCTTATTTTACTTTATAGCAATGCTGTATTTTTGTTTTTGCATTTATATTTTCATTAACAGGGGAAAGGAAATATAATTTACTTTTGCAGGTGATACAACTAAGGAAAGCGTGTAGCCATCCTTATCTTTTTCCAGGCATTGAGCCTGAGCCTTATCAAGAGGGTGAACATCTGGTTCAGGTAACTGCTAATGTCAATTTTATTACATGATAAATAGGGATTGATCAGCATCTTTCCAACTTGTTCTGGCATTCACTCTTTCACAAATTAGTTGATTTCTCTTTGAGCCCTATCCTAAACTTTCTTTTTGCATTGCATTTCCCACTTGCTAAAAAGAAAGATAAGGACATAATAGAAATGTATGAAAATTAAAGTAAAAGAGGTAATGTCTCCCCTGTAGCCGGACAATATATTTGGGGAATCCGCTTGAAGTTTATGTATGGCTATGAACGATTAATAATGTTTGTCAGGTATTACTGACCACAAACCATTAAGTTCACTTCAGCATTAATATGTTGCCGTGTCACAACAAGTGCATCAAAAGTCTGACATGTTACTGAGGTATGTACATGTCTGTCAGATAGAATGCCAAATTAAAATATAACAAACATGGAGCATGATGCATAATCTGTCAAATTCCAATAAGTTAACTCCATAATATATTAATTGAGTGGAAGTATTCAATTTTACCTTCAATTTTTGCTTTCATTCGACTCTACTTATTTACATAAGAATTTTAATCCCTTAAAATATTTCTTGCTTGCCCCAATGTTATAAACTTTTGCCTGTCCAGGCCAGCGGTAAATTGTTGATCCTGGACCAGCTTCTTCAGAAGTTACATTATTATGGACACCATGTCCTTCTTTTTGCTCAAATGACCCAAACACTTGATATTTTGCAGGTTAGATCCCTACCAAACGCATAAAATTTCTTATGTTTATCTGGTTAAATTTTTTTATTGCATGCTTTTTTATTCTTGTAGGACTTTCTGGAGTTGCGAAAATATTCCTATGTACGTCTCGATGGGTCAGTTAGGGCTGAGGAGCGCTTTGCTGCAATAAGAAGTTTCAGTGGCCCTTCAGCTAATTCAGCTTTGAATTCTGAAGCAGACCAAAACGGAGCCTTTGTCTTCTTGATCACGACAAGAGCTGGGGGAGTTGGATTGAATCTTGTGGCTGCTGATACAGTTAAGTTTCATCAAGCTTTAAGCTCTGTTTTTTTTTCCCCCTTTCCAAATATGGAATCGTTTTCCAAATGCCTTCTATTATGTAATTCTTCATATTGGGATGGAAATGTGTATGTGTGCGCTTGAGCATGTGTGCTCATGCTCTTGTGTGTGTGGGTTGTGTGTGTGCTGCACTGACATATGCATGGTTGCATGGGTATGTACGCTGTGCATGTGTACATGCACGAGTGTATGTGCTTGCTCATGTGAACTTACTCTCAATTTGGCTGGTGCGAAGGAAAGAGATTCACTTTTCTTTGGACAAAAATTGAAATATATAATATCTATTGTACCTTTATTATCGTTATTTAACAGTAACTACAGCTACCTCTTTCTATTACTTTTTGTTTTTATTAAAGGGTAAAAGAGACATTTTTCATCTACCGGTACTTTTTCCATCTGTTGAAATATATAATATCTATTGTACCTTTTTTTTATTTCTTTCCATTGAAGATACTAAAATAGCTCCCTAAGGAATTATAGGGTGGAGATGGTTTTTAAGCTCTATTTTTTTGTCATTTATTAGGCCAATGTATGTCTATATTACTTGCAATCTGAATAGAGTGGTGATATGCATGACTCTGTATTTGTTTTCAATGGCTGGAAAATCAGAAGCCTTGCTTCCAAAGGTTGGCAAAAATATGATTTTGCTGTGCAGAGCAGCAACTTGAGTAGAGGCTTTTGGCCTCCTCAAAATGGGTGGCAATAATTTGACCAAATTAGATAAATCTGAGAATAGGGGTCATAAGCTCTAATATCACTTGGAAATTTGGAATTCAGAAGTATATATATTCTGATTCATCTTATTTTGAAATGAGAGCAGTGCATATAAATAGTTGACTCTAAGAATTGGCCGACCAACCTCATGAATCAATGAGGAAAACAAGGGAATAAGTACGGAATAAAGAAAATGTCATACATGGAAGTCAAATTAAGAAAAAGAAATAAGTTGACTCTATGATAGACATGGGATAATCAGATTTTGAATGAAATCATTACAAACCCATAGCCAACAAGTTCTAATACAATTCTTTCTTGAATGGGCAGTTAACTTTATTGAGGATGATGGAACTGTGATGCTAATATAATATAATTTCTTCGTATAGCTAGTTACAGTATCTTCTTCTATAGGGAAAAGGAAGAAGAACAAGGAAAAGAGTAACTAAGTAAGCTGATTATAATAGAATATAGTGGAAAATATCCTCAACACAGTGATTGTAAATGAACAAGGACTAAGAAAACAATAACTACTACTCCCCTGACATTCGAGAGGGCAGGGCACTCTCCCTCCAGCAAACTCTTGTCTGAATGCCTTTTCACTAGGGCACATAACCCTAGATAACAGCTTCTGTCTTGTCTTCATTGGGCTCTGGGCCCACCTTGCTATCTGTTGTGGCACCCTTAGCACAGTGCTGAACCTTTAGTGGGTTAGTGGTTCTTTTCCTCTTGTAAACCTGGCCCATTCAGGTGTTGGGCGCATCAGAGGGGTGCTTGTTGAAGGAAAATGGGTAAGTTTCCCATTTTTTTTCAGTTGTTGACTGGGTTATGTCAGAGCCTCAAACAAATGAGGATTGAGCTTTAACAATAACAATTCAATTTCACTTGTGATGCGAAATTGTAAGCTATGTCCAAACTAACTCTTTAATCGTGAGTCCAGTTGTTAGAAACTAACTTTGGTTGCAGGTAGACATATTTTTGTAACTCTGAAATTTGTCAAAATAACTTGTGAGTATAAAGTTGTATAAACATCATGTAATTATGCTTCATGGGTATCCTTTCTCTATTATATACTCCCTCCAATCTCTATTATAAGGCATCTCTAACAACCTCATTGGAACCAAGGAGAGGGAGTTAAGTTGTTAACTTTGTTTGAAAATATAAAAAACTTCCAATTTTACCCCTGTTAAAATGAAAAGCTTTCAAATTTGCATTACATTCTTTCTCATAGTTAATGAGTTTAAATAGGGGTAATATTGGAAAAAATGTAATTAATACCCCACCAAGTGCCTTATTGATGTAAAACTCACCCATACACACTTGTACAGGTCTGAACAGAGGGAGAAAATAGAGAGAAATAGAAACAGAGAGAGGGAGAAATGAGAGAATGAGAAAGAGAGGGAGGGGAAACAGAGAGACCAGAACTGAAGGAAGAGAGGGAGAGAGACGCAGAGTTGAAGGGATAGACCATTCACATAACTCAGAAATTCATTCCTTCATCTAATCTGCCATTACAAGTGCAAGGCTTAGTCTAAGTTTTTCTATCAATGAAGAAAACCGTAATAACTTGTCCATATAAAGCTAATGTTTAGATTTCCCCTTACAAAATATTACAATAACACGAAGGAAACAAAATAATAAAATAACACAAAGGAAACCTATTTCTTCCTAGAATAATATTTCCCATATTTTCTATCACTTTTATTAAGGACCAAAAAATACTTCTAGAAGAAGAGGGACCAAGGGAGTACATAACATAGTGACATGCATTGACCCCTTACCTGTGCTCTCATATGGTTCTTGGCCAGGGAATCTGATGCTTAACCTTGTCACATTTTTGTAAGCCATGTGTCTTCAGTATTTACACTTACGGTTGTTCCTATTAATATTTTTCTTCATCATATTTTGTGAGAAAATATACTAGTGGATTTTTTTTTTCCATACATTGGGGAAAAAAAAAGAGATACTAGTGGATTTGACACTTGACCCAAAATCATATGGCATTAAGTCAATGGTCATTTTGGTTTGTATATTTTTCTTCAACTTAGTTCTATTCAATGTAAGACTTCTTCCCACATTTTACTCAAGCTTGATTCCAGAAATCTCTCCTTAAGTTTGAATTCATCTAATGCTTCCATAAACATGCTTACATTTTATCTTCTTCAGACCACAACCCACCTCATAGGAGCCCAGTCTATGCCTTACTATCGAACCTGGTCTAAGAGACCACCTCCTAATTTCAATACCTGATCCACGCTCTTCATTCTTGTCACAATCAAACCTTGGCTTTGAACAAGAGAGCCCCAAATATTAGGTAAATCCATGAGGTTTTTTTTTTTTTTTTTTAATTAGACTTTGAGAAGAAATATATAGGTGAATTGAGACCATCTCTCGACCCAAAAATAATATGCCATTAGAGCTACAAGTCTTTTTCATTTAAACACTTTCATCCCAATTCTATTTAATGTAGACTTCTTCAACCTCTTTACTCACACTTGACCACAAGAAGAATGAAGAACCTCATTCTCAATTTGAAAACATCTCAAATGTCATGCAGATTCTGTTAGTTCTGAGATTCTTGCAAACTTTGTAATCAATGACAGTTCTCTTATGCACGTTTGTTTTATATTAATATTTTATGTGATATTAAAGTTTGGGCTTTGCGTTAGTTGAGATGTTAAAATACCCCTTTTATGTTATTGACTTTGCTGTCTAAGAAAGGTATGTAAACTACTGCTTCTGTTATCTGCCTTATGTGGTACAGCAGCTGTTGTAATAAATGGCTTTAAATACAATTTACCATTTTCTGGAAATTGGAAGTGTTACGATTGACCCTTGGAATATGGCTATATGATTTAAGTCCATGGGATCCCATATTTTTCACAGATTTGCTGAAACATTTTGAATATATAAGATATATTGAGAATTTAGTGTAATTGCATTTTGCAGGTTGTATTCTATGAGCAAGATTGGAATCCTCAAGTAGACAAACAGGCATTGCAGCGAGCCCATCGGATTGGCCAGATGAACCATGTGTTGTGCATAAACCTTGTTACAGAAATAACAGCAGAGGAGGTGTCTTTCTATGTTTCATATATTTTTTAACATCTTGACAACAGAGGTGATTTTCCTGTTTTAGAATTTGAATTTGTTATGAAGTAGGTAATTATGCGGAGGGCAGAGAAGAAATTGCAGCTCAGTCTCAATGTTATAGGTGATGATATTCAGGAACATGAAGAAGAACAAAAATCTGGAGTTGGGACTGGTGATTTAAAATCCATCATATTTGGCCTACATATGTTTGATCCTAATGAAAATAATGATGGGGAGCTTGGGGACATGAATTTGTCAGTAATTAATGCTATGACTGACAAGGTGATTGCAATGCGTGATGTACATATATCTGACAAGGATGACAGAAAATTTGAGATCAACCCTAGAAATCTTCTAGAATCATATAATGCTAAGGAAGGATCTTCTGTTTCTTTTAACTCTGATCCTAGTCTTGATGAGGCTTCTTATCTTTCCTGGGTTAAAAAATTTGAGGAACTGCCAAAATCAAGTGGTGACTCAATCATGGAGATGAGGAATAGAGGAATCTTGGATGAGGAAAAGCGTCTAAAACTTGAGGTTGCAAAGAAGAAAGCGGAAGAAAAGAAGCTGCGTAAGTGGGAAGCTCTTGGATACCATTCATTGAATGTGAATGACCCTATCATCACTCCAGATGGTGGTAATACATCAGATGCTGGATCTGTTCATTTTGTGTATGGAGATTGCACAGATCCATTGAACGTCTGTCCATCTGAACCTGCCATAATATTGAGGTCAACTTTCTTTTATAATTGCAGCCGTGCAGTTTATCTGCTGTTTTGACAAGCTGTTAATTTTTATATTGATTTTCTTAGAAACTAATTTTCTTTCTACACTAATATTAAAAGTGTCCTTGCTTGCATGACATTTTTAATCATTTGATGTTAATTGGCTATGGATTAGCTTTTGGTCTGCACTACTGTTCCATTAAGGCTTTCTGAAACATTATATGCAGGATGCTGTTGTGTGTGTGTGTCTCCCTTTTATCTACAAGGAATTATTAGACAATCATATTGTTTCATTTAGTTTTTTTTTTTTTTCTTAGCACTGAAGAGTAAGTTCAAAACGTAATACTCCAGGAATTTGCGAGAAAACAAGGCATTTGTGAGTTTCTTAGATTTTTTGTTCACTTATGACTTTTAGCTTACTGTACTTTCCCAGCCTTCCTAGTTTATTAACTTTTTAGCACTAAAAATAGGATCAATTATTGACGGTCCAAGTATTTTGCCCAGAGTTTCATCCTTTTTGGGCTTTTATTCTGGCTTAATTGAGGATTTTACAGCTGTGTTGATACTTCGGGAAAGTGGGGCCGTGGAGGAATGTTTAATGCACTGAACAAGCTTTCTTTGAGCATTGGTGCTGCCTATGAACGGGCTTCTGCACATGGGGACTTGCATCTCGGGGATCTACATCTTATAAAGCTTGAAGGTTAGAACTCGCTTTAAGTAATTTGTAATATAGAATTGCAAGCAAGGTCACAATGAATTGCAAGACTTTAAGGTGCTTCGTGTTGGTTAATTTAGAGCCATTATCAGGCAGTCTTTGCTGCATCTACTTTTACAGCAGAAATTGTCCCACTTGTTATTATATAATTGTCATATGTAGATATCTCTTGCCTCGGATCTTATTACCACTGCTTGTTTTAGAACATGGGGACTAAACTGATTTCAACTTCATTGTCCCGTTTTCTCCGTTATAATACTTTGATAGTTTTGTAGAACAGCTGATATGGTGAGCTGGTAAAATTAAGTAACCTTAGAAATTGTTGATATTGACTGTTGAGCTAGCATCAGAAATTGTACTGCCTCATGTTTAATCTTTTAGATGTGCGGCATGTTTTTAATTTAGTATAATGACCATGAAGAAAAGGGCGTACTTTTGTTCCTTATATGTACTCTCATCATTTTACAGCATACTGCATACTCAATGCAAAATACCATTAATTTTATCTTTCTGCAATAATAACTATTGGTCTCTAAATCTTTACAAATTTTGATGACTACGAGGAAAATTAAGCTCAATTCAAGACACATTCTCCACTCATTCTGCTTTATTTGGATTCGGTTTCTGAATTTAGTCTCTTTGGATATCTAAAAAACAATCAAATATGTTTTAAATTTTAGCTGTAATTAATCTTTCTGACGTGAATAACTGTTTATGGGTTCCACATCTTGTCCAACATGTTATAACTCAACTTTGACTATGCAATTTATGTTACCATATAGATGACCGTGATGAACAAAATATGGATAGAAGTACTCCCGTTTGGGTTGCTTTAGCTGTGGTTCAGTCTTATAATCCAAGGCGTAAAGTTCCTCGGAGTACGATCTCGCTTCCCCACCTGGAAAGCTGCTTATCAAAAGCCGCATTTTCAGCCAAGCAAAATTCCGGTAACATTGTTCCGAGTTTATTTCGCCTGGTGTTTAATTTGTTGTTCTTATATTATTCTTGCTCCCCATTCTCAGTGATTCAAGTCCCAGCATTTTGTTACCATTGCAATACTGATTCTTGTTGCATTACCTCCTTGTATTAATAATCTTATATCTGCTATATAGTTTATTTATAACAAAGGTTCAAGTTTTGTTATTTTTTTCATTATTATTAGGTACTCCCTCCCATCCACAATATAAGGCATTTTTTAAAAGCCATACTTGATCTAAAATATAGGGTATTAGGTAATTCTTACAATTGTTTTTCTAACTACACCCCTACTTTATATATTACTCTTAACAGAATGATACATTAGAAAACTTTGTAAGAGATTAAGGTTTCATCTAGCAATTACCAGTGTTCTATATTGTGGTCTAAGTGGACATTTGAAGAGTCTCTTGATTATATAAACCACACTTATCTTGTGAGGCTCTTTGATGTGGGAATCATAACAAACTCATTCCAAAAAACTAGCTTGTTAGATGAGAGAATCTCTTGAATTTATAGATCTCATTTCATATATGAGGCTCTCCAATATGAGAGTCATAACAAATACCTTCGAACATTCCTTTATGAGGGTAAATCAATGATGTTAAACTAATAAACTATTTTCTTGGAAAGGTCATACATGATCTTAGAAATCAAAAGCAGGGCTTAGAGATTGCTAGGAGCGACTAGACGTCATTATAGATGGTGCATATAAAAATCTAATCTTTTTCATTCTTAAACTGTCTTACTAGTTGAAGTTTGTTTTTACGTACTTAAAAACTAAATCAGTAATGAAAATTCTGTCTATATAACGATTGGACCTTACACTAATTGCGTTCATTTTTCTTTTTTTGCCCCCTTGCAAAGCATCAATCCACATGCCCCGTATAGGTTATCAAGATGGATCAGGCCGTTCTGAGTGGTACACCACTGAGCGTCTTCTACGAAAATATGCTTCCCTTCATGGGATCAGGATATATGTGTACCCCTCTCTCTCTCTCTCTCTATATATATATATATATATGTACACACACTTATGCATGTATGCATGTATACTATGGACATTTGGCTATCATATAATTATTTTCAAACATTTTTCTGACAGATACTATTATCGTCGACAATCCCAGTGAAGCTTAAGACTATATTTTGTTTATAACTCAGACGATAGTTCTTGGGAATCATGCTCTGCCTCCAATAATGCATACATTCTTCTCACTTTCTTAGTCACTGAACTCTCTCAGGATTAATAGAATATTCTCAGGAAGTCAGGATGAAGTTCACTTGTATTCCCCCCTCCCCCCCTTCTCTTTCTTTCTTTGTTTGGAAGAATGCTTTGTAAGATTCTGAATTTTGACGAAACACTATATGAATGTCAGTGAAATGTTGAAAGAGCCAAAAACTTCATCCTTTTTTTTTTTAATACAATTATCTGATATCTTCCCATGGTTAAATTTGAACATTGTCATATTCAATTAAAGGTGGCTTTCAATATAACATTTTTTTTTCAATCCGTAAGATTCAAACTATCAACCTTGCGTGAGAGAAATTGACTTGTTTTCACTTGACCTGACCACAGTTAATTATAATCCAATTTGATAGTTAGGTATATGGTGTCCGCATTCAATGTTCCTGACCCTCCATTTCATCTTAGAATAATTTTTGCCATTCATTTAAACTAATTTTTAAATTTATTAAAATAAAAAATTAAAAAATTTCATATTAAATTTGAACTATTTAAAGTACATATAAATAGTTAATTTATAAAGTTTATAATAAATTTTTTAATATTAAATTAAGTCATTGAAATTATATTTGAATTGTCTAGAGTTTATTTAAATGGTTAAATTGTAAAATTATACTCCTTTCGTTCAAAAATATAAAGCATGTTTTGAAAAGTTAGATGTTAAAAAATGTAAGATATTTTTAATATTTCGAGGCATAATCAGTCTTTTTTTAAAAAAAATACCCATATTAATAATGATTTTATATTTATTGTAGGGTATTTAATAGGAGTAAATATGAAAAGATAAGATTAGTTAAAAAGTAGGTAACTACTTTATTAGGTGGTGAAATTTAATTAAAAATACTTTAAATTTTTTAACAAAAGGAGTAAAATATTTTTTATATTAAATTAAATTGTTAAATTAAATTTGTACTGATCAAATTAATAATGAATAGAGTAATGAAAATTTTAAAATTTTTTATACTTTTTATATGAATAAATATAAAAAATATTTAATTAACTTAAATGAACGATAAAAATTAATTAAAATTGAAATGAAAGGTCAGGATGGCTTCTAACTTGATGAGCACAGTGCTCATCAATCGAACGCAAATCCTAAGTATATGTGGGGAAAACTCTGTTCATTGATCTTATGTTCAAATAAGTTTTATTATCTTTCTTGTTCTATTATTTCAATACTCGAACCCCTTATCTACTAATTTTTAACTTATGGCCACTGGTTATATACTTTATTACTTACTCATTAGTTTATTTGATAGTATTAGAGCTTTTTTTTTTAATTAGAAAAAGGTAAGTTTGTGGCTTTTTTTGTAATCTGTAAGGCTATTATGGTTTTTCAAAGTAAGAGTATAGTGGTCAATTGGTTGTCTCATGGTCCACCAATAATAAGTGACTAAATAGAACTAGAACACCCCACTCGATGATTGTAGGGATTTTTATCCCCCCTTTTTTGGGAGTAACAAATTGTAGCCACCAAATAAGTAGAAAAGCAAGAGTTTCGTCTTTTGTTTTGTTTTTTTTTTTTTTTTTAAGTTCAACCTGTTCAATCATTAATCACCACCTCCATACACTAAGGCAGAAGTTAATCAAAAATTTAAAAAATGACATTTGCATTTGAATCAAATTGTTTGCTGTATTTTTGCCGGGAGTGTGTTAGAGAAACTGATCCTCAAATGATGCAATAAACTTGATTCCTCAATTAAACAATGAGCCCAAGAATTTTTTGTCACAATTTTTTCAAATTCATGTGCTAAAAAAATGAAAGATAAAAAGAAATAGAGATAAAAAATGAAAAAAAAAAATTGCAAGATGGGGTAGGAATAGAAATTATAGAAAAATCTAAGATAAAAAAACATAAGAAAAATATAGGAGCCATGTTATGGATCTACTAGTTGGATGACTACACATAATTTTTTAGAAGAGATATATTCATGTATTTGTTAGTTGTTATTCCTCTAATTCTATTTATAAATTATTTTTAATATATTTTATCAAAACCACAAAAAATATTAAAATTCATTAATTCTATCTAAAAATTTAATAATTTCTCAACTTTACTCTTATTAAATATACATATTTTAATAACATATTTTTTTCTTCTACATTCAATGGAGATAAATGAAAAAATTTGTGATAAAAATTTAATGAAATGACTTATAAATAGGAAAAAAAAATATTCTTTTTTTTTATAAATAGATTAAAAAAAAGTATTGTTGGAGGGATTATGTAGGTGCCTTATTTTCACTTCCATAGGCAAAAGTGATAGTTTTTCCCTTGATTTCATGTGCTCACAGATTTTACAATTGAAGGCCATTGATTACAATTTTTCTCTAACCTTTCTCCACTTTTGCCACTCTCTCAAAATGCTTTAATTACCATGTTGCTGAAAATAACCTCTCTTCCTTCTAGAAACATGAGTGAGGCTTGGGTCAACATACAATTTTATTTTAACCTAAAATATATAGGGATGTTTTGGTAAATTAAAGGTATATAATATATGTGTGTGCGTGTGTGGGGCTGACAAAGTGGCAATAAAGTTAAAAAAAAAAAAAAGCACAAAAAGAAGAAAAACAAGTCACAAAAAAGAAAAGCCAAGCACAAAAGAAATTAATCAAAATCAATAAACCTAAATTTGATCAAGCAAACCACCGAAGTCTATAAATAAAGAAGACTCCTCCATATATGGAAATGGCTTAGAACATCTCTCTCTCTCTCTCTCTCTTAAACTATCATCCTCCACTTGTAAAATTTCCCTTCTCATTTCCTCTCAAATTTTCCTTTGTAAGCACTTCATTCTCACTTCATACTTTCCTTTATATAAATAAAGCCATATGCTTATATGTATTGTTTTGTTTTAAATTTTATGTACAATGATCTGATCCACTTTCCTAAATGGCATCAGAGCCATCTTTTTTTTTTTATTTGCTGATTTTATTGTTTAAATTGTTTTTTTTTTCAAACTATTTTATTCTTTTGTGGTGGAAACCTTGGCAAGCCTGAGCCTAAACCTGGTAGTATTAGTAAGTCCATTAGATTAGATAGTAGTGTTCTCATTAAACCTAAGAAGAAGAAGAACATTAGGAAATAAAGATAGTATAAACATAAAAATGAGATGGTTCAGCCAAATTTTAGGATCTAAATCCAGAAAGAAGATAGGATGACTCTAAAGAGTCCTAGTTTATAGTCAAATATAAATAGTAAACCTGAGAAAGAAATAGAAGAAATTAGAAATAACCAAATTTCAATTCAATCAACCTTTAGAAAATATTATCAAACTAGTCAATGGCAACTTTTAAGGAAAAAGAAATTTATAACAAGACAACCTTTGATTTTTCATATATAACTAAAACTATAGAAAGAGAAATAGGAATTAATAAGGATAGACAATACATTTATATGAATTATAAGAAAATATAGAAAAGAATATAATTGGATGCATATAGGAATGATACAGGTTGTTTTCAAACCTAATTTTAGACTAGGTTTAGATAAACCTATATCATATGTTTAAGAGATAGAACACAAGAAAAAGATTTTCAAAAATCTTTAGTAGGAATACTACAGTCAAACTTATTCAAATGACCAATCTATTTTGATTGTTTTTCAAACTATATAACAAGATTAAAAGACAAAGATTGTAGAGAAGTTTTAGTAATAGAAAAAGGCAACCAAGCCTTTTGGAAAAAGGGAGTCACAAACACAGTTGTACAAATATAGAATAATATTTAAAATACAAAAAAGACATCAGAACTTTAAAGCCATAAAAAAACCCCTAAAAGAGAATCAATGTTACTAGAAATAGGAGATCACTCCAAAACCTCATTTATAATCCCAATGAAAATAAAACATAGTGAAATACAAGCATCCACTAGTTGGACATTTACAAAATTAGCCAAATCAGAACCTTTAGAGCAAGGGAAATTAAGGAAAACAATAAGAACATCATAGGAAGATGTAACTTATGAAATATTAAGTAGGTCAATCTCTTGTAGGATAGGAGAACAGACATATATATTAATTCCAAGACAGTCAACAAACAATTCTAGTATAGGATATAAACTAATGGGAGTACATTTTTATCCAAAATTCCCACAACCAATATACCAAGCCAAAACTAACTTCTAAAGTTAAAGATAACAAGTATGAAGAAAATATTGAATTAGAAACACAATTATAAATAAATAAAGAATTTCAACCACCTATAGATTATTAATCCATAAGAAGTTCATTATTAGTTATAAGAAGAGAAAATTTTGAAATGAACAAAGAATTATTAAGGACAAAATTTATGCTACTAAAAAATAGATATAAAAAAATTGGTTTTTTAGTTATTTTACTAAAGAAGAACAAGACAAAATTAAAGAAAACTATTATAAAGAGCTAGAACAATTAAGAGAAAATATTTACCTCTTTAAATGGTTAGAAATTTATACCTATAATAATGAAATATTTAATTCTTTTACAGAAAATAATCATCCTTCAATAAATGTTAATACAGCTAGGACTAGAAATTGAAAATATAGAAATAATACAACAGTTACAACAACACAACCTTCATCAGAAGAAATCACAGTCAACATAGAAGAAAATAAAATAGTGGCATCTCCATTAAAGATAATAAATCCACAAGAAGATAAAAGTTTATGGAAAATAGTACAACAAAATAACTATACAAACCAAGCTTTAGATGCAATAAGACATCAACTAGACATATTAGAAAATAAATTAGAAAGATGAAGAAGTAAAAATCCTTTAAAAGAAAAAATAAATCTTATGAAGTCAATATTTAAATATGAAGGCACTGCTATAGAACAAGCAAAAACAATTACTCAGAAACAAGAGATAAAAATAATAAAATAGAAATTTATTAGTAGATATTAAAAAAAAAAAGAACTCAAAATGCTTAGTCTAAAAGAGAAAAATAAAGACAGAATAAATGTCATAGAAAAAAGCCATGACATAGAAGAATTACAAATAAATAAAATTAAAAGAAATAATTTTAGAAAAAATTCTAATTTAAAAAATTATTATCCAAAACCGACACTACCTGATTTACAGTTTGAAGAAAGGCAACTATGGCCTCCTCTCATTATGTCAAAACGTCAATTTATGAGTGGAACATAGACTGTTACAATGAATATGAAATAATAAATTTA